CTGTCTCTTTGTTCGACAACAAGAGAAATATGACAACCTTACCAAATAAATTTTTTGCTAATTTAACGGAATTAAAAGTGTTAAAACTAAGAAAAAATGGATTTGTTACACTGCCAGAAGATCTCTTTTGGGGATGCACTTCACTAACTAATATCACTTTGGAACGAAATTATCTTCAAACTTTACCTCTATACATATTCCGTGATTTAAGAAAACTCGAAAAATTGGAATTGAATTTTAATGATCTTGAAACATTGCCTGATAATATTTTCTCTAACACCAATCGATTAGTAAACTTAGATTTATCAAAAAATCGAATTACTTCCATTTCCGGGTATGTTTAAATTACTGTTATTATATCTATGATATGAACGATAACGATTGCTATATTTTTCATACTTTTATCAATACATAATTCTTTACAGGCATCTATTCAACGGATTATATGCTTTAAAGGAATTAAATATGGAAGAAAATCAGCTGATGACAATTTCTAGCCACAGTTTCAGTTCCTTAAAAGAATTGAAAATTGCCAAGTTTTCTAACAATTATCTTACGTTAGAAGATTCTTATCACGAATATCCTGATCCATTTGGATCGAAATCGCCTTTTTATGATTGCGTGTCATTAGAGGAATTATATTTAGCTAATAATAATATTTCAAAAATATTTAGCGACTGGATTTTGAGCGACTTAGGACTTCGAAAATTAGATCTTAAATATAACAATATATCTTTAATAACCGTAAGTAAAAGTATATGGGAAAAATAAAAAATTAACCTCTAAAATTAATGTTTTGATAAACAGATTTGAGATATTTGATTTATGAGACAATAAAATATTTAATGTTACTTTTTCTTTTTTTTTCAGACTGAAGACTTGCAGTTTGTGTCGCGTGACATCGAAGTGGATTTAACTCATAATAAAATAGAGCATATCTTTTTACGCAGTGCTGAACAATTAGTGAGTTACCAAGAGGATACTCATGATGCAAAAATATTAGTGAATGACAATCCATTACATTGTGATTGCGGATTGTATGACTTTCTACGTTATATTGAAAACAAAATGCATCCCGAAGTCCCAAATTATTTCAAAATAATACCAGGAAATTTAAGTTGCCAAAGCCCAAAGGACTTAGAGAACGAGCCTGTTACAAATTTGAAATCTGAATTATTAACATGTATAGTAGAGGATTCTAATGTGTGTCCTGAAAAGTGCACTTGTTTAGTAAGGCCTGAAGGTAATGCGTTCATATTTGATTGCTCTAACAAAAACTTGAGTAGTATGCCAAGCGATATAAAAAAACCTGGTAATGTCTTCCAATTCGAACTAAATTTCTCTGGCAACCGATTAACTCGTATGCCAGATTTGAAAGCAATGGGACTTGAACCAGTGAAGAAGCTTATTTTATCTCATAACAACATTGATGAAATTTCTCTGGATGGATTGTCCAACACAATACAGGTGCAAATTTACAATCTTTTATTTAGAGAATAAAGCATTTTATTGATAAAAAAGAATTAAAAAATTTAGTATAATTATTTATATAGAAACATTCAAAAAAATGTTCAATTAACAAGGTGTGCAGATCTTAATTTTTTCAGATCACTCTCTCTCTCTCTCTCTAATATGAAGTTGCACTTTAATTAAAAAAGTATCAAATTCTATTTTAGGTCTTGGAACTACATAATAACAATGTGTCAAGAATACATCCTGACGTATTAGAATTCCTGAAACAATCAAAGAATTTAACTCGATTGACGTTACACGAAAACCCATGGGAATGCGATTGCAACGCTAAGGATTTTCGAAATTTCATTCAAACGAATTTAGTGACGATGCCTGATCTACTTAAAGTGAAGTGTCCGGGAAAGAATACTTCTGTATCGGAAATGACCGTCACAGATTTTTGCCCATTGCACACGGCAAGGATTATCGGTATTAGTGTAGCAATTTCTTTTGCCGGATTTCTTATCGGCTTTTTTTGATTACTCTATTACAAATACCAACGGCAAATTAAAGTGTGGCTTTTCGCCCATCAGTGGTGCTTATGGTTTGTAACCGAAGAGGAGTTGGATAAAGAAAAAGTGTATGACGCATTCGTGAGTTACTCGCACAAGGATCATGACTTTATCGTGGACGAATTGGTGTCTAAGCTGGAGAATGGCCCAAGGTCGTTCAAGCTGTGCCTTCATTATCGGGACTGGGTAGCGGGCGAATGGATACCAGCGAATATTGCTAGCTCTGTAGAAAATTCCAGACGGACGATAGTCGTGCTGTCTCCGAATTTCTTAGAGAGTGTCTGGGGAAGAATGGAATTTCGAGCTGCCCACAGTCAAGCGTTGAGCGAAGGTCGGGCGCGAGTAATATTAATCCTCTACGGCGATATCGGACCCACTGACAACTTGGATCCAGAACTGAAAGCGTACATAAGTATGAACACGTATGTTAAATGGGGAGATCCCTGGTTTTGGGACAAATTAAGATACGCGCTGCCGCATGAACCCAAACTTGCAAAGAACAGCATCACCTCAAAGAAAATCTTTGAGAATCATCAACTGTGTATTCAAGCGAACAGGGATAAAAAAGAGCTAATTTATCCAATTGCGATTCCTGAGACTCCACCGACCACTACACCACCGGCTGACACACTTGAAAAGTTCATCTGTGAAGAACAATTATTTTTGAATGGATGCGTGAGCGAATCGTGTAAGTTGAATGGAAATGTCCCGATCATTCTCTCACCTGAACATTTAATGAAGCACAATAATGAAGAATGTCTTGTCTGATAGTACGAAAGTAGAAGTTTGAAAAATATTAATTAGAGATCATTTATAAATCCATCTTTGATGTATCTAATGTTAACGTCAAGAAGTTTTGATATTTTTTATTTTTTTAAGAAGGCTTGATCTTAATTTAGAATCTTCAAATGGGACAATTAGGTAATGATACAAACTTAAGAAAGCGAAAAAAGCAGGAAAAAAATAAGCGATATGCAATTGACTGATGTTAGAGTAAACTTAATAGACATGTAAATAATAATAATATATTTTAGCGATTCCTATAAAATTAAATAATTTTCAGGAATAACTCATTCAAGTAATTTCATGAAAGATTATTACTATGAATACATTACTATCAATTGAGAGGATTGGCGGAATAAAAGCCTAATTACAATTTAAAAAATGCACTTAGTCCCTTTTTCCGAATCTTGGTCATAAATTGCTAAGAATCGACAGAAAGAAAAGACTATAAACTGCAGAAATGTTTTTTATTTTCACATTCTTCTAGAAGAAATACAAAATGAATATAAAATATATTTTACTTTTACTTGTACAAAATAAATTGAAATAATGTTCAATCATCATCTGATGAGTTTTTGTAAGATTTTCTTAACATAAATATGTTGTAATGAAAATACATTATTATCATTTTCGTACCATTTTCGTTCTCTGGTAAAAAGTCTCTGTTAAAAATCTCATTAATGATTTTAAATCATTTATGTCCTTTTTTTATAGATTATAGATATCATTTTCACCACAGGACAATCGAAACACGTTCATATTTAACTAATGTAAACAACATCAATTCCTTGTTTATTTGCGCTAATCTGCGGAAAAAGGGCCTAAGTAGAATTGTGCCTTTATTCCGCCAATCCCCTCAATTGTTATTTATATTTTGAACTATATTATAACAATGTTTTACTGTATTACTATCAATCTAAGTTTTCAAGAAATATCCAATATTTATTATCACAAGAAATGTATTTCAATTTAAACATGCTTCCTGATGGTTGTTTAAGATTTCAAAATAAAATTTTTGTAAATTATTACAAATTATTGTAATAATTTAAATTATATAATATTGTAAGATGTTTATTCCTCTCGTAAATGTCATTTTGATTGTATCTTTAATATGTTATAGTTTTTCATGTAATATTGTAAATTTAAGATATATTTAAATAGCTTTTATAAGAAAATACTCAAGGGTTATTTTATATATTGTGATACACTTAATTTAGTCATAAAATATACTATGTGTATAATGCAATATTATAATTAAAAAATAGTTTATATAAGGTACCTCCTATATCTTTTATTAGCATTAATTTTTAAGAACAATTATTTCATCAAGTTTTTTTAAACAATGATATAATTTAGGAATAGGATACATCCTGTATAAGTTGAAATTATTAAAACAGTACCTGACAAAAGTTAATTGTACTTTAGCAAATACTGTCATGTATCAGGATATGCAAACACATTTAATATAAAATATCCTGTTTTTTAATGCATATTCTTTTATGTCTCCATTTTTAATCAATGTGACATATAGTTGTTCTTATAGAGAGATTAAAGCATGTGTAATTTTTCAATTATTTTATAAGAACTTTAAAAACAAAACTACTTTATGATGTAAAAAGATAAGCAGAACTGTGTTATGATAAATCAATACATAAATATTGCAAAAAAAATATATAATAATCTTTTTATAATTTGTTATATTTGTTGTATAAAGAAATCTGTAATGTGCCGTATGTTGTATGCATTTATAACGCATAAAAATCTGAGACAAAATATGCAAAATGAATCATAAATACGTTGTGTATATATATATGTATATATTCGTAGCTTTATAATTAATTACAAATATATTAGATTTTCAAGATTATAAATTTGTTACAAACAATGTCTTTCCTAGACATTCTTGCTAAGGAATTATATTTAAATTATCTGGAAAGAATCTTTGAAATACTATGCATAATTATTAGAAGGAAAGTTTTAAAAAGTAAGTCTAAATTTATTAATTCATGTTATATACTTTTGTTAGAAATATATTAATTTTTTATTTACATATATGTATAGGTGAATAAAAATATAATTTAAGTTATAAAATTTAAAGTTTACTTCTTTTCTTACATCTTACTTTTGAAAAATTTCCTTTGTATTTTATCGATAAAATACTACATTCCATGAAGTTGTATGATTTTGACTTACCAACAGCAGTTTCGGTTCACCGATGCCCATGGATTCGTTACATATAAATCTTACTTCGGACGTGTAAGAATCTATTACAAGAAAATGTAATTTTAATATAAAATTGAAAATCAATGAATACATTAACGAAACAAAAATATTGAACTCACTGTTATTACATTTACTACCATTGGAATATTTAAGTTTTACGTCGTTACGACTGTAATCAAAAATCACACTTCCCAGTGATCCGTAACCATTATATTCATGACATATGGCAGAACCGTTGCAATATTTCTCTCCGCCACAAATACTTATAGCATACTCTTTGCCTTGTCTGCTTTTCACCTAGTTTTATTTTTATTTCTGATAAGCTTTTTTGAAGCTGTATTGATATTGTTAGCAGACATTATATATTACGAATTGTATGTAAAAGATATTGTTAACAATAACAAAACCGATTGGATAATAATCATAATGTGTATAGTCATAATGTAAGTTACCATTTATATTTCAAACTCACGTGATGTATCTGTTGCTTTTTGTCTAACAAAGAAAGGTTGTATTCATATGAAAGGAAACTATCCTTTATAGTACATGGTGCCGTCCAACCTCCTATCACAGCACCACATGCTATACTAGTATTCCATTCAAATACATAAGTACAATTAACATAGTGTTTATATACTGGAAGTCCCTAAAACATAAAAAACATGAGAATATACTAATTTTTTTTATAAAATGAACTAGATTTTATATATAAATTTAAGTAGTTCTATGCTTATTTCTAAAGACATTAATCCTTTATGATAAATAAAACTCCAACAAAATAATGGGTTTCTTCAAAATTCTTTCAATGTAAAGTTTGATCTCAATTTCAATGATAGATTATTAATATTATAAATATTAAAATTCAGATTACTCTTCTAGAAACTGTATGCTGTTACCTGATTGTTATTATCACAAATAAATGTGAAATTCGAAGATATCGTTTTAGTTGGATTCTCGGGACATTGTGATCCATTGATATAACGTAATACTGTTTGTAAATCTTTATTTAATGTTGGACTGCCTTCGGGAAATCCTAAACTCTAAATTGTTTTAATGAAAATATAGATGTTATTTATTTAAGTCACTATATAGTACCAATTATAATACCACTAACTGTTTAAAGTTTAAATAAATCTGTACTCACGATTTCATTCGTATACTCGTTCTTTGAAGTTACCGAAACCTTACAAGCAGCACTACCATGTGCGCATAAAAGACCTTGTGTAGGAACTAATGGTCGACATATATTTATGTGAAATTCCGTATCGTTGGCTTTAATGATATAATTATTTGTAGATTGTATAAGAGGAGTTAAATTGATTTCATCGTTATTATCGGTAGCACATTTAATCTAGACAAAAGAGTAATTCTTCATTAATTATGTCAAGAGAAAAACCAGTAGCATGTATATAATTATGCTTACTTTTTTCTCACAAACTAAATCTGTATTCCAGTGTATGATAGTTTGACAAGTAGATTCTTTTATGAGCAATGGCCGACTGGGCGATTCTTGAGGTTCACAAAAAAATCTGATAAGTGTATAGTGACTCATTCCATTTTCGCATAAATCCCCATTGGTATAATTTAAATAAGGACCACTTTGCTGCCATATTAAGTTTGCATTAGCTTGTCCTAACGACGTATATTTCGAGTTACATATTCCTGCATGAAGAAATGGTAATTGATAGATCAAATTTAGATCCATCATATAATCACAATATGCAATATAGTTTCATGATATGATGTAGCACCTGTTTTATTCCCACATGTATTATCCATAAGCGCACTGCAAACTCTGAATTTGTATTTTACACCATTTACATTTGTAACAGTGAAGTCTTTGTTCATTAATGTTTGTAAGTCATATCTGCATATTATAAAATACATAGTTAAATTATAAACGTGTTATCAGTATTAATCATATAATATGAAAGAAATATTCTTACGTAAAATTTGTAATTGGATTCGTAACGTTGCATTTGCCTGCTCTTTTAACACTATAATCACGAAGAGTCTCAATATCGCATGCTGCAGCAGTGTACCATATTAAATGATAATGACAATCTTCTATCCCACTTCCCAAAATATATTCTGGAAGACCCTGATAACAACATTATAATATTCATGAAACATTTCTTTTATATATACATATATATATATATGTATACATGTATGTAAATTTTTAGCGCTTTCCAGCAAGGACATAAGTCTAATTTTTCATTATCTGTTGTGGGATTCTCTAAACATTTTATCGACAATTGCCGTTATCATTAACTAATGACAGCCAATGAGTGCCGCGCTTTCTTCCAGGATTGTCTTGCCATTGGATGTCGCTAATTAACGATAATCATCGACAAGACGTTTAGAGAATCCCGCTACTGGTTAAGCTTATCATGATATTTTATCCTACATGGGTTTTACCCATGATATCATTATAGATGAAACCCATTGGATAAAACATCAGGTTAAGCCTAATTACAAGTTAACCAGAAAATGAGAAACCAGGCTATAGTGTAACAGTGAATCCTTTCATCCTTGTTAATAATTTACTGTATTATACTAGATCCTTGCTGGAACATGCCCTTTGTTATTAGCTGCTGCCATACCTTAGCTTCCAAATCACATTTAAAATAAATAGTTGTTTTAACATGTGGAGTTGTAATATTTTGTGTGCATAACGCACCATCCTGGTATTCTATTTGTAATGTTCCATCTTTGAAGAAAGGAGGCTTTTGTACTTCTCCTAAACTTGAATATCTATAAGATAAAACAAAAATCAATTTATTTTTAAAGAAAAAGGTTTACTGTTATACAAAAATTATACAATCAAATATATAACAAAATCAAATTATATAGATGTTATATTTGCGTTTTAATTAATTTTAATAAAAAATCTGCTTGTCGATAACTACCTATTAGGTTTTTCAGGATCATCCAAGCATGCTCCAGATTTAATTGGACACATGATACCATGATGTAGTATAGATTGGCAGACATTTAATATTATTTTAGGTGATTTGAGGAATTTTGTTTTATTTTTTATATGCAAGGGAATCACATAATTTTCTGAAGCTCTTGTTAAAGGACTTAGATCATAATAATGTCCAGCGTTAACAACTGTACAATTTGTTTGGGTTCTAGGTACACAAGCTAACGCAGTCTTCCATACTATATATAAGTTACATTGTTGATCATCCTAAAATATTTTTATTCATACATCACACACACTTGAGATATAAATATATTTTTTAAAAATTACTTACATGTGAAAATAATTCAGGATATGAATTAGTCTCTGCATCATAATCACAATGCATAATAACTGTCACCGTATAATTGATTCCATGTAGACAATCATCACCAGTAAAATTAAACAAGATTCTTCCTTGTTCATTATCTAATTTTGGAGGAAACCTTCCTGTTTATGTAAAAAAATTAATTTCTTTATCTCACACAGATTTATGATAATATACTTTAATATATAAAAATGCAATTTAAACTATACAGCATTACCTATTCCTTTTTCTGTATTGTTTTTTATTAGACATATTGCATAGCCATCCTGGTTATTGCATTTTTGAATTAATGGAGAACATAATTGCATACGTATTGTCTCATAATCATGCTTGATGATAATATCTTCTTTATCTGATGTCAGTTTCGTTAAATTGTATATAAAACTTAACTTATGTTCAGATACTTCACAATATTTGGAAGGAGTGACAGATAAAACCTATAACAAAAAAATTTCTAATTTTTAAATTAATCCAGTTAAACATGTCATCAAGAATAAAGTAGCCACTTTATTAAGATCAGTTAAGCAAATGTAAATAACAAAGTTCAAATATTCAAATATAAAAATAAGAGAATGGCCCAATAATTTCAAATCAATAATAATAAAATCAAAGGGCTACGAGCCAAAAATTTAAACTTTAATATTCAACGAAAAATACAAACATATATTTCGACACTGATCAGGTCATTATCAATGTAATACATATAAACATAAAAACAAATTTTAAACAAGTAACATACTTTGGCGGTTATAAAAAAAATTAGAAATGAAAATTGGAAATGCTGTCTATTCGTCGATGATATGTAGTATTCAAGTATCCTGTGCAACGTTAATTATCCGAAAATATTAATCATGTGCAGAATTTTCTGTTTAATTCATATCTAATGGGAATCATAGTTCTAAAAGTAAGTCAAGATTGAGCTGTACCAAGTCCTCATTAGAAAGATATGGTTACGATTACATAGTCAGTTAATAAAAAGAAGACGACTCAGGTAAAAATACATTAGAGTTGAGATAAATTGATGTGAAAAATCATTTTTTTTTTTTTTCAATACTTAACGTCTATTCTTGTCACATCAATTTGTCTCATAACTCCAACGTATTTTTGCCTGAGTCGTCTTTTTATTAACTGACTATGTTATCGTAACCATATCTTTCTAATGAGGACTTGGTACAGCTCAATCTTGACTTACTTTTAGATTCCCATCAGACATGAATAAACAGAAAATTCCGCACATGACTAATATTTTCGGATAATTAACGTTACTTGGATACTTAAATACTACGTATCATCGACGAATAGACAGCATTTCCAATCATTTCTAATTTTTTTATAACCGCCAAAGTATGTTACTCGTTTAAAATTTGTTTTTATATTTATTACATTGATGTACAATGACCCGATCGATGTCGAAACATGTTTACATTTTTCGTTGAATATTAAAGTTTAAATTTTTGGCTCGTAATCCTTCGATTTTATTATTAATTTCAAATATTCAATTAGTATTATTTCTGAACAAATTATCTCATTAAAACGAGTAAATAATATGCATAAATGCATAAATATATAACGGTGATCTTGAAGCTTATACAGTTAAAAAGGTAAATACAAAATTAAATATGCACTACGTACAGCCGAAGTAATAATAGCTGATAAAGACCAAAGAAAAAGTAATCCATTCAATTTTGACATTGTTATGGAATCAGGCTTTTCCCATTACATTATTTATTGAATTGATTCGTGACACGCAACATAAGATACAGAATAAAGACGATGAAAATATCGTCCGACAAATTCAGCTGACAAATTCGAATCACATGCGATATGACACAGCAGCAACGACTAGGGTGGGGACACTGCCATGTTTCTTGTTTCTTCGCATAGAGGTGATAGTGGAGGAAATTTCTCGAGACGAATTTCGTGCGGTTCTGCGCAGATTCAGCGCGATAATTTTGAAACAACAGTTCGAGAGACAGAACTTGCTAAATAAGAATGACATGTAAAAATAATCATCGAAAAGAAGAAATTAGAAATATACATTTTTATCTCATCCAAAAGAGAAAACGTTAATATTGAAGTGGGGAAAAACTCATGGAAAATCAATTTTTATAATGGCAAAAGATAAAAGCGTTCCGAATACGGGCCGCTAACTGTAGAGAAAAATTGATCAAACAGAAAGGACCTGGGGATCGATTCTGTATCTTCAAACAAGGTGAAAATGACAAAAATGAGCAAATTTACTAGGTGTTGACCAATGAAATTATCAGTATTCTAGTAAATTTGCTCACTTTTGTAATTTTCATTTCGTTTCAAGATACAGAAGGTGCGTTCGGGGAGACGCTATTAGCGCTACTCTATCATTCTATCTTCGTTGTTTATTAGATGTAAAACAAGGATAGAATGACACATGGGTGCTTTCAGTACTACAATCGCTCACTGAGCGCTCAGTGAGCTCTTGTATCTGTTTGGTCTATATTTTTAGTTCTAACGGAATATGCCAATCAGATGCAAGAGCTCACTGAGCGCTCAGTGAGCAGTCGTAGTACTGAATGCACCCAGTAGCGCTAATAGCGCTAATAGCGTCTTTCCGAACGCACTTAAGAATCGATCCCCTGCTGACCAGCAGCTTCTTTTTGATTGGTCAAGAGGCGCAAACGTGAACGCAGACTCAATCTCTAATCGCTAGTGTGATACGGGCATTACGTCGTTGATGTGAAAACACCACTTTAATGTTTTCTGAAGAACGTATGTAATCATATGCAATCATATGTAATTGTCGTATTTTGTGATAAGAGATCGTGTTGAGTGTTAAAATTTTGTTGCTGATGTATACAGATTAATAATTATTCTTCGTGTATTGGAATATATAAATACGAATATCAGAGAAACAAGAGGAGTAATTTCTTAACGTTTATCTTTGATATTTCTTACTCCAATGGCACTGACAGGACCCAACTTGCCGAAAGTTCCGACTCCTTTAAAATCTATACAACACTATTTAACAATCGCATCGAAGCATGATCAGCGAGACAGCGTCGTTAGCTATTGGTGTATGTATATTAATAATATATCATGTATTCTAAATCTAAACCTTAATTCTAGAGATTACAGAAATATTTCAGTAAATTAGTTTCACACACAGAGAAGAAAATAACGATATTTTCTAAAATAAATATATCTTTCATCAAAAGTTGAACGTTCCTTGCTTTTTACTTTAAAGTGATGAAAAATGATTAAAATTTATATCTAAAACAGGTCGCTTGTATGCTCTTCAAACTGGGTTGAAGTTGTCAACTAAGACATCAGAAGAGACCAATTTTCTCCTGAAGCTAATGGACTGGTTGGAAGCAACAAAGAAAGAACTACATGACAATGAAGCCATTACTAATGATGTAGCTGCTCAAGCGCACTTAGAAAATTGGGCTTTGAAGCTTTTTTTATATGCTGATAAGAACGACAGGGCTGCAAATTTTTCTCAGAAAGTAGTACAGAGTTTCTATACCGCTCAGATGTTGTACGATGTATTGACATTGTTTGGAGAATTGAGTGTAGAAGCTGCACAGAATCGGAAGTACGCTCAATGGAAAGCAGCTTATATTCACAATTGTCTAATGAATGGAGAAACTCCAGTGCCAGGTCCACTAAATGAAACAAATGATGAAAATGATTCAAACAAGGCATTGAATGACGATGGTAAGTATTGGCTGTTTATCCTCGTGAATTTTTGAAATTTTGATGAACATTTTATGGCTGCTAGATGAAGAGGCTAAATCAAATATGAGTCCTACAAGTCCTAAGGATAATACTTCGCTAGACATTCCATCCATTCCTCCAAATCCACCAACTACAAGAACACAATCGTTTGAGTCAGAAGATGATACGTATAAAACCGAAAGTAAGTTTCAAATTGATATTTACGAGAAAAAATAAGTAAGTTAAGTTTAGAAATACAAGAATATGAAATAATTATTTTCTCGGGTATAATATAATTTTAGGTGGTGCTAAGTTGTCGGTTGAGCAAATTGGTAAGGCTCAAAAATTTATCAAATGGGCAAGCAGTGCATTGGACTATGATGACGTAGCTACTTCTGTAATGAATCTTCGGAATGCTTTGCATCTTTTAACTACTGGTCAGGAATCCACGTAGATGAATGAAATGTATATAGAAAATACACGTACAGTAACGTCTTACTTACAATTAATTATGTTGAACTTATCGCTTGTAATGTGTATAATGTCAGTAAAGAATATTATACTAATATTTTACAACTTTTACAACCTTTGGGTACAGATAAGAGAAAATGAATTAAAGAGGCATGATTACAATTAACTAGTCAAATTAACCTCGAATATGGTGCACTTAATGAAAATAGAAATTGTTACAGACTGTCTTTCCAGATTGTAACTATTATTACTGTTTAAATGAGAAATGTAGTTTTATAGCTGTAGTCATAGCTGTAGTTTCATTATATTTATTGAAACTATTTAATTTAAGAACATATTTTTTAATAAAGGCTTTAGTATATTGCTGTCTTGTTTTCCAAATAATTTTTATAATGATGTTATTAATAAAATTTTTTCGAAATATTGTTATAATGCTAATAAACAACGAAAATCAAACATTTAAGTAGAAGTCAGTTATTTTGAAAGTAAAAAATCTTGAATTAAAGTGCTTTCAAATAAATAGCTTATGTGATTTTTAGAAATGATATAATATTTTTACAAGCGCTTTAGGATTTAATGATTATTGATAAACTTGCAACAAAGGTAGTTGTATTTTATTTCACACGATATGTACATCTAACATTTCGTACATGATATATATTTTTTTATATAAACTTAACATTAAATGATGTAATAAATATACAAAATGTGCGTATCAATTTTGGCCTAAAAAATCTCAACATTTCCTTTGAGTTTTTATCAATTATTTGACAGAGGTGTGCGAATAGTTCGAATTCAAATCACAATGGATTCGGTTTGTTTTCGAATCTGAGAGATTCGAAACCGAATAAGTTCGAAATATTTTATTTGCTTCATTTTAATGTAAATCCGAGAAAATTTAATTTGAATTCGATTCATTCTCGAATCAAAAAAATTCGATTTGATTCGTTTTCGAAGATATTATTAGATTCGATTCAACTTCATAATAGCATGAATACATGGTCCGCACATCTCTATTATTTGATGTACCCTTTATATTGTAAATGTAAAGCTTTTATAAGAAAAATTTAATGAATACGTTATTTCTAGTATATTAAATTTTTTTACTCAGTATTACGTACAAAATAAAGAAAAAAATATAATTATGTATTTAATGAAAATACAATTCAAATCTTTTCAAATTAAGACTGGCTGTTTTAATTTATAAAGATTATGAGACTTATAGAAAAGGATGTCAGTTATTTAAATATTTTTAAAATACGTGAACAGTCCATAAATTGTTACCATGACCCAAAATGGGAATATTATTTGATATGAAAGCATAACTATCGTGGGTGTCAAATAGTAATTAGAAAAGTATTTGATAGTTCTAATTTTGGTTTTATTTATCAAATTGTCTGATCACATTCGTTATTCGCACATAGAGATTTTAAGAAATAAATTAAAACTAGTGCGCACATATGTCTCAATTGTTAAGAAACATTTTCTGTGCGTTCATACACGCACGCTCGCACGGTACATATAAGAGCACATTCATTCAAGTGGCAGTTAGTACCTCGTGCTTAAGAGCTAATGTCATTGAGAATTGGTCGCATTAATATCGATTAATGTTGCGCGTAGCAGATTAAATTTCTTTCTCTATTTATATTACAATTTTACTAGTTTACATTATAGCCTCCTATGATTATATATCATAGTTTTTATATCATACATTTATAATTATGTATATTATAGTTATTTCATAAAGATATCTTTAACTATTTATATTGTAGTTTCCTATATGTTATTTATATGATATAGCTACTTATATTACAATTGTGTAATATTTTATATATAGCTGTTGTGTGATAGTCATATGTTATGGTTTTAAAAGAGACTAAAAGAAATATAAAATACTATCAACTATCATAAATCGACCAAACGGCTTTATTTTTTAAATTAATTTCACTGATATATATATATATATATGTATAGTTAACTATTTGTGACCTTTTTTCTCTTTTTGCATCATTGTATTAACTATAATATAAATAGAGAGAGAAACAATTTCTTTAATCGTGACTAGCGACAATCGACATTAATGCAATGGTGTCTTAATGGACCGATATTGTGGGATGAATCACTATCATCAATTAGCGAAAACAACATTTACTGATCATCGGACTGCAATTGCTATCACCAAAACTCAAAGTTTGTATTTATAGATTTTTAATGGTAATTAAATAATATTTATCGGAGAAAATATACACATCACATATTTATCGAGTGTTCCGCATCGGTGATAAAAAATATTCCGTCATAATAAAACTTTACATAACTTCCATTAATTACAAATCTTATCACGTCTTAACGTCGCTCGCTTTTTATTCTGCAAACTATATAACGATATAGTGCGCAGAGTAACACGTAGAGTGCAACAAAAATTCATCTCACTAATCACATTAAAACTGATCACTGTGAAGTAAATTATATATTCCTCTTGCAACCCCTTTCGGAGAAGTACATTTCTTTTCCAAGCTTGATTCATAGAATCCTAAATCATCATTTTCTTGCCTCTTACATATTAGATAGTTTTTTTACTGCGTGTCAAATATTTGAATATAAAAGATTTAAAAAGTTATATTAAATAACGGTGCCTTAAGAGAAAATGTTATTTTTTATTTTTGAAAAAATGGGAACAAGAGTCTATATATAAATAAATTAATCTTTCTCAGAATCAGTGTCCCAGAAATGAAATCGCAGAATTAAGAGATTTAAAGTGAAAACAGGTAACACGTTCTCCAACTGTAATCCCACTCAGTCTTGCTTCTTAGCTCTGTCATCGACACCGTTCGCCGTCACCGATTGCGCGTTTCCTCGCCTGAGCTGCCAATCGATCACCAATCGCCCCGTCAGCATAAAGAAGAATACCTGAAACCGTTTAATTTACAGCTCGTGGAACATATAATGTCGATAAATAATCATTTACCAGTGCCGGGGCGATCCTTTCGAATTTGTCGTTAACCATGTAATGAGAATACACGGCCATCAGCATCAAAAGAAGTAGCACTGTGTTCGATAAGTTTTTAACTTTGTCTGGAAGAAATTTACAGATGATTACTGCAATGAACCAGTTCTGTTCATCAAATACGGCAATTTCTTTGATGCATTGGCTGCGTTCAGAAAATGCAGCTTTGCAACTGTTGTAAAATTCTTTAATATGGTTGGACTTGCCCAGTAGTTCCTCACTGGATCTAAATGTATAAACTAATCATATTCAAGAATTTTACGACAGTTGCAAAGCTGTTTTTCTGCTGAACATAGCCAATGATTAAAAGAGGACAAAAGGTTTGTATCAATTGAAGGTCAAATTGAAAGCAAAATTTATGAATCAATTGAAAGTCGAATTAAAGGCAAAATTTGCGAATTTATTTCAAAGAAAGAAATGTAAATGAACACAGTTTTCGTGATTGACTATATTTTAGATATTGTTTATTACTATATTTGAGATGTAGAAAATTAACATTTTAATATAAAATTTATTAAAAATATAAAAAGTGTGTCATTGAGGACAGGTCTGAAAATTTCGAATGTTTTGCTACGATTCCATGATTTCTGAAGAAAGCTATTTATTGTTTTTCTGATCTATTTTTTTTATCCAATTTTTAAGATACTTTACAGATTGATCCTAAAAAGCAAATCATTAGAAAATTGCTATTTCAAAATAATAATATAAACGTCAAATTCTGATTTTTTTATGTTAAAATTGACATAGTATATATATATTCATGTCGTTTTCATTTTGCAATTTTCCTAATATTTATTTAGATTCCGTAAAAGTATTGTAAAAGTGTTACGAGGAAAACTAGATAAAAAAGATAACAGATTGCTTTTTTAAAAGTCATGAAATCGTGCAGGCAAAACTGAATCGAAATTTTCGATCTGCCTCTCAATGATTCCTATATATTCTTAATAAATTTCATATTATAATTTAATTTTCTACATCTTAAACAGTAGTAAATAACACCTAAGAGAGAATTTATGTCTAATTATTATTCCTTCCTTTAAAATAAATTCACAAATTTCGTCTCCAATTTAAACTATACAAACGTTACAAACCACTTGGCCTCCTTAAAGTTAAGAATTTGCGTGGGATAATAAGTGTAAGAGAGCAGATGACAATATGTGAGAAACCCGCAAAAATAAAAACTTATCGAGAGAATTCGAATCTCTAAAATTCTATAAAAATTAATATTTAAGATTCAAGATTAAGGCAATTAAAGATCAGCAGAAACATATATAATAATAAATATTCGTGAGAGAATCTATGGTTCAAGAACTATAATATTATAGGAGATTGATGATACAATTACAAAATTGAATATTTGTGAAACTGATAATTCGACAGAACGATTACAAAGGGAGGACATTATGATGAAAGAAGGTGGTTGATTTTTTGCACCTACGACTTGGAATAATCGCCATGGCGAGGCCGCAGATAATCTCGAGCGAGCCGACGACTCTCCGATACCATTTGCTGGGCACCTTAAAGTCAAGTGTTCCCGAAAGCGGGAATACTTTTGCGTACTTGACATATTCCTTTCTCTGAAATATTAAAAATATTAAAAATATTAAAAATATTAAAAATATTAAAAATCCTGTTAAAATCCTGATAAATCTCTTCAGTGAAAATAAAAAGTAAGACTATTCTATTAATATATACTTAATTATGCCTAGAATTAAATTTTTTTCGTGTTTAAATTGTAAGTACTGAGGAAGATCGAAAACAATGGTCGAAATGTTTTAAACATTTAATTGATTTTTATAAAATTGACTAATAAATTTTATACACATCGATATCAGCTTTCATGCGGCTAATTTATATCTCTCTGTTATATTGATTTATTCTTAGAGTCTTCTTTGTTAATTTATTGTTTAGAATTAAATACATAACTAATATATCAGTATATAGTGTTTGCTGATAAATTTAACATATATCACGATATCTCTCTTGTCAAAAATTAGAATATTTTTTTCTTTAACAAAATATAGAGTAATAAAAATATAAAAGTAATAAAAAAAATAGAGAGCAGGCTCGTTAGTTTGCACAGCAAAAAAAATCGAACAATTTGGATATTAAATACATTGACTTTTCAGAAGTAAAATCATATATAAAAATGAAAATGTTTCAACTAACACAGACTCTTCATCAGTTCATAATACAAAAGTAGTTTCCTAATCATAGCTAAGTAAAAAAGAATTCTTTATTGCGACGAATCGCACTGCAAACAAAAAACGTGAATAACAAATTATATTTCTTCCTTAATTTTAAATGAGTCCTCAATAGAATTCTCATTTAAAACATAGATACTTGACGTAAAATATTTACGAATATAGAGTATAATTAAATATATAACAGTTAAAGAAAAAAATTATTTTAGAGATAAATAAAATACATCTTATTGTGCTCATCTCTAAAAAAAAATAACTCTTGTTGGACGCTGAGTTTGTTGCATTGTATTTACATAATGGTGAAATAATCGAGAGCCCGTTTTGGCAGCCTCAAACAATTCGAGGACTTGTAGAAAACCTGACTTGCTCTAATACACCAAGTATATAAATATCATTCACCAGCAAGTTTGCGAGTTTATTGGCAGTTGACCAAATAATCTGCACGAGTGTTTACCTTAATATCACTTTCGTTGGGCAATGTCGGAGATTCTGAAATAGCGGAATGACACATTGATAGTTCACATTTACATTAAAAATTTACATTAAGCCGTAATGTTAAATACGTAACATATTTCATTAACTCGTAGTAATAAATATATATCTTTCTATATTTTGCAAAAAAAAAGATTTACATTTTTTTACGAAATCATATACGAGAAATGGAAAATCGGCTTTCGACAAAAGGAAAAATATAACAGTAATAAAATATTTTATGTTTATTACAAATAATAATTAATTGATTAATAATCAATTTATTGCTTAAATAATTCAGGTTCAATAAAATTATATTAATGATTAATTGTGTGTTTCCACATAGCCGTATCAATGTTTGATCTTTAATACTACATAATATATTGTAATACTTTGATACCTATACATTATCGAGCACGCATTACCGCGTGTATTTTTATACCGTCTATAACGAGCTAGGTGACACGGCATGCGTCGTACCTTACAATTCATCAGGTTTCAAAAATTGTATTTTTTTCTGATGCCCTTGGCCTCGTTGCGACTCGCAATGCCATATAATTTTGGTGTTTGGTCGACCTTAATTAAGAAGGAGGATACAATTCCGCCATAGAGCGTAATTACCTATTGCGTTACTTTTTTTTCGTCACTGAGTCAACAATACGGCAATAATTTTTTTTATTCTTCTATTTTTTTTCTGATATAATTGACAAAAACATTTTTAATTCGATGTGTTTTTTTACATAAATTACATCTGAATTTTAATTATGATTTGAAAAGAGTTAGCTTTTTCATTTAATTTTGATTGCTCGTAACTTTGTGTGATATTATAATTTTTTTAAATAATTAAACAAAAAAATCATAGTCCAGTTGCTTTCAAAGAATTTAAAATAAATTATAAAAATTGGTTAGTTACTTTCCAAGAGAATGCAGTACAAAGTTCAAAAAACATAATTTGTAGAAGAGTGTTTTGAAGATCTTAATACTATTTGGCACCACATCTCGCATTCCTCACAACGATTTATCCTCTTTCTCTTTGACCATTTCAAATAAAGATTACAAGAGAATTAATATATCGAATTATATCAATGTAGAAGGTTGTAGAAAATAAACTCGAAAAAATAAAAAATTGATAATATTGTTATTGCTCATGTTTCATTGGCGTCTGTGTTATTTATTCCAAACTGATTTTTATTGATATTTTCATCGATCATTTTAAGAATTTTTTGACATTTTGTCATTTTTAACACTAGATATAATTTTAGTTTGTAGAATGTAATAATAGTTTTAATATTATTTATTTTTAGTATTAACTTTCCTAAACACCTGGATGAATCGGGAAAAATATCGAAAAGTGTAAATAATATAATAATAACTGTATAATTAAAAAATTCGTATTTCATCAGACTCGCGCGATCGCAGATGCACTGTCTATTCTAATCGACGCAAGATATATTAACTTAAAACTCTTCCTCTATACAAAGACATATCCAAAAATTATTTTATATACATATATATATAGATCTAAATGTGCTGAAAATAATCTACTTTAAAGACAAATTTTTAAATTACACTACTTTGCTCTTTAATTCGTACTAATTCATTGCCATAGCGTTGCTCAATTTTCCTTATTTCTATTTTCAAGATTGATCCTAAATATTCTATTCCTTTATAAAATTATGTCGACTATTTTGAAGAAATAATCGCCGACAATGTAACATCATCGTACAGCCGGGAGCTGTTCGACATGTATCAACCTGTGGAATCGGTTAATAATTCGTTGGATCGATCAACTGCGCCTTTCATCACATTTTTCCGAGGAAGGGGGGCCACTGTGAGCCCAAACGTTAACCCGATAAACGTAGCGCCATGTGAACCGTGTCATCCGTATTTGTCGTCGAGTTTTTCATCTCTGGACCGTTAATAATTCGGAAATTGAACATCGTGGGAAACGGACGCTGGGAGCTTCGGCTGACAAGGGTAGGGCCGTTAATACATAAGGCGCCTTTGTGCAAAAGAGATTTTGCCGCTCCTATTAATTTTTATTTACTTTATTTACTACTAATATTTTAAATAAGACATGTTTATAAATATCATTTTTAGACAAGGCGCAATTTGATTATGTTATTTTTTCCTAGAAAATGTGAAACGTAAAAATTTTGTACTATTAAAATTAATAAAGAAAGTTTTCATTTTTTACATTTCCGTTCTAGAGAAATAATCGATATTCTAGGCCTCTATTCTCTTGAAAAGAAACGTATACGAAAAAATAGGGAAATACTATAGTATACGTAACATATACATATATTTCACTAGTTTTTTGTATACGGTTTTTTTTCAGGGGTCCTGGTACTAAAATGGTTTTGTACGTATATATGTGGCCCTCTTTGTATTAAAAAATTTTAATAGCAACGGCAAATAAATAATTATCTGTTCCGACTAATGATTTTAGATTTTGCGATTAGATTTTGGTTTTTTTTCTAAATTATAAACAGTTTTGGAAGAAATTAAATCTGACAGAAACGTGCACACACGATTGAACTGGAAAATTTATTTTTAACTCTTTTTTTGTAATCTGAATCTTTTTTCATACAAGTAAAATTTCACTCTCAAATTTTATCGTAAATAAAAAGGAGGGTGAAATCCGGTTTCTCCTCTTAAAAATATCTTATTAATAGGGATCTTGTTGCGGAAAAGATATTGAAAAATAATTCTGAAATTTTTTTAAAAGCTTAGAAACAGTAAAAAAAATTGGGCTGAGCAAAAATCCATTGCAGATAAAAAATTAAAAATATGTTTGCAGATAAGGATAAAACTTAGTTTGGTGCTTCCCTTGTTAATACGCCTTTGGGGCAGTGTATGTATCGTAGTATCCCAGTGAGAAATGACAATGGAATCGACGTCGAATCAACGTCGATTCGATGATTTCGACGTCGAATCGACATCGATTCGACATTGATTCCATTGTCATTTCTCTCTGGGATGTACAACTACAACTTGCACACCTACTTGCGGCGGCCCTGGGCAAGGGGAAACCAGAGGAAACGCCGTTGTCGCAAGCGTGCGCACACGCGATTATGTAGCGACAGAATCAAGGGTAGCGGCGGCAAGCTTCAAGTATATAAATGTTACATAACAAAGCCAGGCCGTGACAGAGCGGGCGGATACACGAGGCGGCTTGCACTCGACGTATCCATCCACTTTGGCACCAACGTCGACGTCCGTGAAATTACATAAAAATAAAACGAGAAGAGACGGACGATATAAATCGCGTGACAAATGGCGTCCAGTCAGTCAGCCCGCTAGACAGTTTGACGCGGTGAAATGATTGTCTTTTTATTATTTAATTAATTAATCAGTTAAATAATGAAACATCGTTTACGGGATAATTTTTAGATGAATCAATTGACGGTTGCAGATCGAACGAACGACTATTGAAATCTAAAGCAAAAGCTTAAACTTATCGGTTAATGTTGATTGCGGAAGTTTTTGAGGCGGAAGTTTGCGTGCGATGACCGCTGCCAATTATTTATAATTAAATGTTAAAATAATTTAGTAATTATAATAAGACAATAATTTAGCAATTACAAGATAAATACAATACTACATAATTTAAATCATTTTTTGTAAATCGCTTATCGTCTGTCAACGCTGTGAAACCTAACATTGACTAATAATTTTGACATAAAAACATAACGACATCAATGTCCGGTTCTACCAATGTAGATTAACTTTAATCTTGCTTTATAACTTACTTTTCATCTTTTTCTAATTCTAAGAATCAGAAAAAGATAGAGAATAAATTATACCGAGATTAAAGTTAATTTACATTGATAGAAATAAACATGAATTAAATCAACTGCCAATTTCGACAATATTAAACCGCAGTGAGCGATAATTTTTTATCAGTTTCATCGGAACTTGTCAGTCGCGTTCATTGTTAAACCTAATCATAATTTCAACTATAATGACAGATAAGTTTGACAATGATTAAATTCGATCGTTTATTAACATCGCCATTTATCTTTCTTGTATACAATCGCAGGATACTGCCCCGTTAAATATCACATAAGCAAGGAAGAGGATCGATTCCTTGCTCGTGGACGATTTAACTCACCAGGTCCTTGTGCAAGTCCTTGCTGATGTGCGAAGTCAGCTTCATGGTGCCGACAAAAACGAAGAATATGCCGAGGAGCACCGAGAGCGACTTGAGCACTACAGAACCCATCTTGATGACCCGGGATATCGCGGATTGCGTGCGAAAACGCCGCCGATCGATTATCGCCGGAAGCGAACGCGACGCGGACGGCCGCGACTGAGCGCGGATCTCGCTCTCGTCGTCGGGTAGCGGAGGATCGGCGGCGAGGGGCACAGCGTGTCTAGGAGCACATGCTCGCGTGCGTCGCGAGTTAGAAGCGCGTTAGTGAGCGACCGGGACGGCGACGGCGACGATGTCCATGGCGCGGGTCATCCCGACGTCCTCTGCGACTGCCAAAATGCCAAGTGCGGCGGTGCGGCGCATGGACGTTCCTTTCACCCCCAACCACCCCCGACTCCCGAGCCGGTGACGTCAACGGCCGACGCGCGCGTATCAGCGTCGTTGCGCCGGCTATTTTCTGATCGATACTCGGCCGCTTCTCTTCCGCGCTAATCGATGCATGGTGGTAGAAGACTTCTTCTACCATAAATCGATGTACAATGTCCTCGCTCGGGTCCGCTTCGACCGAGCTCCAAATTGACGTTGACCGTCATTGTAAAATTAAAAGGGACTTTGTTTCGCCGGTATAGGCGATTATTTTTTAATATATACTTTATTTATAATTTTATATTTATCTCTCATCTCGAACTGGCTATAAAATTTTATTTCCTCCTTCTCGAAATCGAATCGGCGAATGCCTAGCATTCATCTATAGATGCAATCTACAATTAATTTGACAATCGATGTGTTTATTGATTAATTTGTCGAATAATATCTGTATCATTAATAATTTAATAATAATTCTATTGAAGTGTGCAGATGCTATAATATGAAGACAAACATAGTAAAAAGCAGCACTTCAAGAATTACTGGAGCATCAGCAATGAAGCTGTTTGTAAGGTTATATCTTTAATAAATAAATAATTAATATAATAAAATAATAATGATAAATCATTTATATTAATATGCAATAATGATTATAAACACTAACATATAAATATACAGACACGAATGGAATTATAGAGGATAAGTAACATTTAATTAGCAATTAAAGAAAATATTAACATATCAATAAGTTTGTAAATAAGAAAGTATATTTGAAAACATACAAAAGACAAAATAAATATAGCAAGATAATAAATACCATGTATTAAATTAAAAATGAGAAAGAAGCAAACTGATACGAAAATAGAAATAGAGGAGCAAGACTAAACAATAGATAACAATAAGATCAAACCTTTTATTGCAGCATGTAAGAAGCCAGCCTAAAATTTATTCTGTTAATATAAATAAAATTAATTTTTTCGTATGTGAAAAGAAAAATTAGATTAGAAGCAATTATATAAATTGTTGATTTTATTAATTGGAGCTTGATTGAAATTATTTTTATTGTACGAGCAGACGCTCGACAAATTTGAAAAAGCAATTCCAAGTTTACGCCAATTATCAATTTTTTGACATCGGCATAAAGAACATTTGTTTCATTTTTATAATTCGTTTTTTTTATTTCCAACTAAATTGATCTTCCATGCATCCACACGCGCGAAGAAAATAATATTGGAAAGATTTAAAGCTTAAGATAAAAAACTAATTAAAAAATATCGTACCATTTTGAACGATCAACTATTCCCATTATTGATTTCTTGTTTATAAATCGAGTTTTATTGATATTTCTTATAAGTGTAGGAAATGTACAATGATTATTTACAAGTTGCTTTTGCAGTCATTCGCGATATTTTACAGGCACGCGGTTTCAAAGTAGAATCGTTGTTACAACTATTAGTAACAGAGGACGTTTTCGCTGTATTCATCAGGACGGTCATAGACGCGTTACTGTCGCTCAGTATCACGGCTTTTCGACGATGCGAAATTAATATTCCTCTGCTTTGTTGGTTCTTTTTATTCTTTACTATAGACGATATCGTCTTTTTAATACCAACTGATTGAATATTGATTGTTTCTTCCGCTTTCGTTTCCTTTAAAGTTGCTGTATCCAAAATAGCTGCACTGTGTTCTGATCTCAAAGATGGTTTTTGGATTGTATCGAGATTAGAGACATTGATAGAAGAATTCTGAACATAATTATGATCGTTGAGGCATGTTTCGATGGCGCTTTTATTTGACATTTGATGAAAAGTCTCCCTTTCGAGTGATGCTTGACTTTTATCCTCAATATCACAATTAAGCATAGCTTCCACTTTTGTAACTTTAACAGTAGAAATTCTTAATTCATCATCAATATTATGAATACTATCACTATTATTAAAATTGTTCATCTCTGTGATTTCAACGACATTTCCAATATTAGGATTGCTTATATTCTTCTTTTTAGAAGCATTTTCTATACTAGAATCATCTATCTCTTTGATTTTAGTGTCACTATCGATATTAAAATCAATTATTTCTTTGATTTTAATAATTTCAATAATAGAATCCTTCGATTTTTTATTAGTATCATTTTTGTCACTACTGTCAATATCACTATCGCACATTTGTTCAGTTATTTCGATATTTTGAACAGTAGACTCCATTAAATCTTTATCAAGAGATTTACATTTATCTTTATCTTTTATACAATTATGTATTTCATCAGCTACCATATCACTTTTACAAGAATTTAATTGAATTATTTCTTCGCAATCTTTCGAATTTTCTTGTATAAGACGTGACGCTACTTCAACTTTTTTTGTACTAATATCCGCCACTTCTAACTGTTTTGTACCACTTGCGTCATTTTGAAGCGATATTAATTTATCATCTATGGATGCATTTACAGAAATAGCTTCATTTTTATTTACAACTGGAACAATTTTTACATTTTCCTCACTTCTATTCTCTTCGGAGATTTTTGTAAAATTATTTTTCTTCTCAGGACTATCTAAAATTTCGCCTTCTTCCGGAACATGTTCCAAGTCTTTCTTTACGATATGTATGGACATGACTTCTGATAAGTCTTTAAATTTAATTTCTGATTCATTTTTCATTTTATGCTGTTCAACATTTTTATCAGCACTGGAATTCATTGTACTATTTACAATTGGTCGACTAGAAGACTCTCGTAAATTAGTTTCCGCTTTATCATTTTCGTATAATTTTTTATCATTTAAAATGCTTGCCGTTTCCTTTCTTGTTCTGCGATTTTCGTGCTTCTTATTCTTGTACGAGTTACTACTTTCTTTATCTTCAGCGTCGCTAGATGAATATCTATATTTATCCCTTAGATCATCATATTTTTCACGCCTATGTCTCGTTCTCCTATCATTTTCTTCGTTCCCGTAGTTCCTTTTTAATCTGTCATATTTATATCGGCTATCATATTTATAATCATCATACTTCGTTTCTTTATATGTTCTACTGGATTTTTCACGTAAACGATGACTGCTCGAACTCTCGTAATCGCTCCTGCTTCTAGAGTAGCTTCTTCTTCTTGGTGGACTATTCCTGTGCTCATTTTTCTTGTAACCACTGTTAAATCTTTCTGAAACATGAGTTGTGTGTGAAGTTGAAGTCCGAAAATTTCGTAAACTATGGGCGTGACCATTCCTGATATAGGAACTGTCATGATCTTTTGCTGATTTACTTTTCGTCTCGCTTCTCCATCCGTTTGTACAACTTGGATTCTCTTTGGTGTCTCGATATTCTGAAGCAGCTCTATGTTTATCGCAGAACGAAACTTCTTCCTTTTTAAAAGAATGCGCTACATCCAATCGATCTTCGACTTTGAGACTATCTTTTATCTCATATTGCGCAAAATTGTCTGCTAGATCATACTGTGTAAGATAATTATTCGTTTCTTCGGTCACAGTTTTCTCTTCATTTTTTTCAATTTTTATACGTTTGTGTTTATTTGTATCTTCTTCTTCATTCGTCCTTTTCATCAAATTCTTTCTGTACGAAGATTCTGTAACAAGATTACGTTCTGATGTAATTACAATCTTCAAACTAAGTTTATTATTCAACTGTCTTTAAATATAGTTTGCATATGATTAAGATATTCTAAATATTCTAAGAGATTCTTAGGTTAAGAGAGAGATATCCTAAGATAAGATATATTCTAAATTTTTTATACACTTTCTTCAAGATACAGATAAATAGTAACAAATATTTAACACGCATGATATAAATTTTAATATAAACGTTCACTTAATAATGTTTAATAAAGATAAGTTAATAAAAAATTCTTCCATTAGATAAAAAAAAATATACAAAAAATAAAAACTGTTTTATGATTCTATACAGGGCGTCCCATTTCAAATAATGTATTAAGATTTCTCGAAAACTATGATAGATACGGAAAAATGTTTCAAACAAAAATTGTATGGTTCGGAGGGGGACATAAGAAGGGATACTTTGTATAAGCTTAAATGATACATATAACCATATAAAAAATAAATATATCTTTAATCTACCTGAACTATAATATCGTTCGATATTAGAATCATTGTCGTTGTTATTCATACTGAATGGAGATCCAGTCTTCTTATCATTTTCAATATTTTCCTTAGAAATATCCTTCGTTTTAGTATCTGCAGCAAGTTTTATTAATTCTTTTTGCTTTTCCTCTTCTTTTTTATCTTCTATAATTTTCTTATGCAATCTTTCCCCAAATACTGTAGGCATCCGATGAACTTCATTCTGTTGCTTTTTACTTTTATATTCGTCGTGACAGAATTGAATTTGATAAAATTCAGTTTCTTCAGTTTCTTGTAAATGTATCGAGGAAGTATCTTCATACTTTCTTACATTATGTTGATATGGTGATTTACGATTAGAAAGATCTCGAGATTTATAGTTGTGTCTCCTTCTGAAGGTTACATCATCCAATCTGTAAACATTTTTGGTAATGTTAGAAATGGATTTGTCAATATAACAGTTTATATTATTCATACCGTTTCCTCAGATCATCTATTGTCTTGTCCTTCCGTGTAATTTCAGCTCTTGCAGTTTTCAATAAGGAAGACAAATTGTTCTCTAAATTAGCGTTATGTTTCTGCAGATTTTCGTTTTTGCTTAAAAGTGAACTAAGCTCT